AAAAAATATTTTTTGAGATACTGTTAACATTTTTAAGCTGATTTTATTAATTTTAGAAATTTTTGTCCAGAACCGGAAGAACCTGAAGACCAGCCAGCGTCAGGTTCAGTCACGTAACATCAGTCCAGACAGCTTCTGGTTGTCRTGTTGTCCTCCTGAACTCTGCAGCTGTGTCTTTAAAATGTCCTCAAGCTTCACAGAGCTCCTTGGAACTTGCTGGTACAGTCAAGTGCACCCCAGCGTGAGTGATGGAGCCTTTTCTTCCTACTGAATCGTACAACGTTCTGTCTTTCACATGGCTTGCTTTAGGAAAACATAGTCGTTCGAACGCAAGAAAGATAGGTAAGGTGGGTTGGAGGAAGAAAAGGTGGCAAGAGCAGAGCTCTGACACTAATCCAATTTGAAACTGTCTGTAATGCCTTGTTTCTAAATTGGAAAAATTGACCTTCCTCGCAGAGGTGGCACAAGCCTTCACTTCGAGATGTTTCTCAGGCTAAGTGGAGGTTTGGGTGAGGGCTGCCGCTGAGCCTGAAGGCCGGGCAAATATTTCATGAGTAATTTAATATGTGGAACATGAAAGCGCGCTTCACTCAAGATCTTTGCCCCGGATACAGACAGTGATCTGGTAGCACGGAGAAGAAAGAAAAAGTCAAAAGGGCAGATCAAGGAGTCGTTATAGCTGTATGTCAACTTTCCTCCAAGTCTGCTTAAAGAATCAAAACTAACATTAATCTTAAACAATTTTTTTGTCTCCAGGAGGAACTGCTTCACTGAACTTGGACCTTCTTCATTATTTTTACATGTGGAGCCACTTTTAAAAAAAAGATCTGTCAAAGAGGGGTCCTCCTAATGATTACCATCACTGCACTTTAAGTGCTACTCTTCTTATATTAATAACTGGTTCTATATTTTATCAAAAATATTAATTTTATGTCACTGCAAGATGCATAATCTTACTTAATATTCAATGGGTTTGCTTTAAAAAACTTTTTCTTGTGCTCATTTATGCTATTTGTTTTTCTGTTGCTGTGCCTTTTTGAATATAAATTAGACACTGGATATTTTCTGTACTATTCTTTTATATTTTATATATCCATCCATCCATCCATCCATCCATTTTCCTCTGCCTATCCAGGGTCGGGTCGTGGGGGCAGCAGCTTCAGAAGGGAGGCCCAGACCTCCCTCTCCCCAGCCACTTCTTCCAGCTCCTCCGGGGGAACTCCAAGGCGTTCCCAGGCCAGCCGAGAGACATAGTCCCTCCAGCGTGTCCTGGGTCTTCCTCAGGCCCTCCTCCCGGTGGGACGTGCCCGGAATACCTCACCAGGGAGGCGTCCAGGAGGCATCCTTACCAGATGCCCGAGCCACCTCAACTGGCTCCTCTCGACGTGGAGGAGCAGCGGCTCTACTCTGAGTCCCTCCCGGATGACCGAGCTTCTCACCCTATCTCTMAGGGAGAGCCCAGCCACCCTGCGGAGGAAACCCATTTCGGCCGCTTGTATCCGGGACCTCGTTCTTTCGGTCATGACCCAAAGCTCATGACCATAGATGAGGGTAGGTATATTTTATATACAGTGTTAAAAAAACACATACAGTAGTTCTGCTTTGGTGACAAACTCTCCAACTGACGTTTGGAAAACGGTCTCCGCACCGCCGTATCAAGCCCCCCTGCAAATGCTGATTTGAATCACGCAAATTACAAAATAAGGAATTCCAGGGTGTCCTTGTACAGTCCCATCACATCAGGCTGACACTTCGACTGGTGTCACTGGATACATGTAAGAGTTTCCACAACACAGTGAGGGAACGCATCACTGCTCCATGAGAACAGCCTATTCAGCTGTGTGTAACACAATAACTATAAAATAGATTGTAGCTTGACGCAGCTGTGATTCGGGACTGAACCCGTTGCCCAGCTGTTTGGAATATTTGATAGTTGATGACATTTAAACAACGGTGCATGCGCATACCCTGACATGCATTATTTGAATTGACAGTGTGTCTACAAGAGAGCACTGGAACTAAACAGAAACAGTGATGAAATGCGGTTGTTGGACGGTTCGTGACAGCTTGGTTTAGTAATATGAATGCACTTCAGGAGTTTGTATTTCACATATTTAAAATGCTTCTTGTCATTTTTAACAAAAACAAAAAAGAAAGAAAAAAATCAAGCTGTTGCTGTGTTGGGACTGTAAATGCCACTAGTGCAGCAGACATCAGGCAGTCCAAAACCAGATATTTTTTGCACCCTAGTTTAATACTTTTAATGTAAACCACAGATTTTAATAAAGTCAAATAATGCACACATGAACTCTAAACTTATAAACAGGTTCGTGTTTTCCCATCAGACTGTGTTTGTGTTTTTTGGTTCAGAATTTGATGACTCAAAAAGAATCATATGACATCAGTTTTCTGTGTAACTTTTCAGATAAAACTCTAATTAAAGAGAACAATGAAAAAAACCACCAGGGACACTTTTCATAGAAACTAAAACAAGCCATTTCAACAACTTTGTTGCAAATATTTAAACACTTTGAAAAGTAAAGATGTGTTTCTACTTTTAGTTTTCAACTACCAAGCTGGAACATCTTGATCATGCTTTGTTTTTTTCTCTCACAATGTTT